CTTGCAGCTGTGCCACCATGTCACCCAGAGCACTGGGCAGAGCTCTTTATATAGAGTTAATAACAATGTATTGCCCACACATGTGTATTGAGCTAGCCAAACAGGGCCAGGTGAGAATCCTGGCCACAGGAACTTTTGTTTTATCCGCACTCCACCCCTCCAGGATTCTTTTCTCTCAATCTATGTGCCCTCAATCCTCTGCAATGGTCCTTGTGTGAGAAAGCTCGAGCAATGTAACCAAATTCCATAATAGAGGCTGTGACAATATACAAATAACAAAAATTACAACAAATTATAATTACCCTAAAGCCTGAGGAGATCCATGGCCACCAAGTGGTCATCCTGGTTGTATTCAAACCAGTTCTACTTGAAGGAGTTAACCAACAGGACCATGGGTGGGCCTTAACAATAACCACCTTCTCCAACCTCTCCAGCAGAAAGTCTTGTAGGCACACAGCCTGATCCTGTTGCTTTATCTCTGCCTTCTGCTTCATCCTCACCAGTCAGAACTGCTGCTCCAATATCAATTTCCACAGATCCAGTCTACTTTCTTTCTTTCTGCTCCTGCCTTTTCAAACCAACCCACATCTGGGTCCTCGTGACCTTTACAGGGCCCTTTAAATTCTTCCTTCAAGAAGCAAACCATATTTCCTTTTGTGCTGGAGCCTGAGGATAGAAGAAGAGCATGGAGTGCTCCACAACCTGAGGAGGGGGCTGCACCTCTCTTGCAAGAACCTGTGGTTGCTGAGTCTTTCTGGATTTCCACCAGTTTTCAACTGGGTGGGGTCTCAACCAAGGAGAGGCCGATGCCTCTGGCAATGGCAGGACCTCCATCCGCATCCATTCTTCAGACCTCCGCTCCTCCATTTCTGGTGCTGATGGCTCCACTACATCCTTCTTACAGCACTTGGAAGCCTGTGTGCTGCTGCTTCTTGCACCACTTCTTCTCAGGCCTCTTCCTTTGACTGCCCCATGGCACCTGGAAACCTGCACTCCCATACTGCTTCTTCTTGTGCTGTTCATTCTAAGACCACTGCTCCTTCTTGTGCTGCTTCCTCTCGGGCACTTCATAGTGACAACATTTCAGTCAGCTTTCTGTTGGGGTGGACTCCAGTCCTCCACCCCTTCACAATACCACATTTCCACAGGGGCACACTTGAATGTTGTCCCTGTCCTTAGGTGCAGCCTGCTGAAACACTCCTTCCATGAAGGCAGCTTGTTTTTTTCCTTGGTCACCAATGAATCCTGCCAACTATGCCAATTGTCTTGCCAATGGGTTTCAGCCTCAGGCAAGTTCACTATGGATTCCATGTGACCAAAGAAATGAGAGTAGAATGTTCTTGGGGTGAAAGGATTATATCCAACTTTATTTCCATGGTGGCAGGTCAATCACTAAAATCTTGTTCACTCAGAGTGCGTCTGCATGCAGCAAGCTGGTCTCTGCCTCTGGGCCTCTCTAGCCACACAGCCATCCTCTGGGCCTCTCTGCCTGCATGGTCTCTGTTCTTGGCGCTGTTCTGCTTTCCTGCAGCCTTGTGGCTGTACCACCATGTCATCCAGAGCACTGGTCAGAGCTACTTATATAGAGTCTATAGCAATGCATTGCCCACACATGTGTTGTGAGCTAGCCAATCAGGGCCAGGTGAGAATCCTGGCCACAGGAAATTTCATTTTATCCACAGATATTTAAAGAGATCTTACGTGCAAATATGGACATTTAAAGGAAATAGAAATTTACATACTCTATCCAGAGATTAATCATTCCTGTCAAACAATGATGAGATCCCTTACTTCTATTTTGGAGCCAACTGAATCTAAATATAAGGAAAGTTTATTTTTTATGTCTACATAATAAATGTTAGGGGCAAACACTTCTTTTTTTTTTGGTAAAAGCATATTAAAGATAATATTATCTCAAGAGTAACTTACTATTCACTCCCTGGGACTTTGTTAATAATTTCTGCTTATTGCCCCAGCCTGGTTGAGAAATTCCACTGAGGAAAGCTCTGGGGTGGCTCTGGAGACTTTTCCATAAATGAATGGGTCATTAGATTTCTCAGAATGTTTGGGGAAATATACCATTCCTTAGATTTCCACTCCAAATCCTCTCAAGGCTGGTGAATGTTGCTGCTTGGACAAACCTGTGTTCTGGTTCCGTGGTTCTGATGTCTTAGCCATTTGTATCATTAATGGTAGTGGTTGAAAACAACATATTGCATGGAGTAAGCTCTCTACCTCATTATCATTCCTTTTTATATGTTACAGATTTATCATGGAACCACAAGATACTTTGCAATCAACAGGTATAATAAAATAGCCAGTTATTTAGAAAGATGTATGATATTTGTGTGATGAAAAGAGAGAATAAAGTGAGATATTCATCTGAAGCAAAGAGATACTTCTACCACATCTGATGTGTTGGGCTCATAGTATATGGAACATTTTACCACAGGATTAAACTTCAAGGTTTTAGTTTAGATCATACATTGGATTTTTTTCAGTGTGTGAACATTATTAGACAGCAATGACCCAATGCCTAAATTTTACTTACAGCTTGAATGGTTGGTTGTATTCCAGCAAAGGGAATTTCAGAATCTCCTTTTAAAGAGATAAAATAAAGTTAATCTGTAATTTAGAAGACTCTAGTGCATCTCACTATGAATAACCAAACAAGATTAACCTGATTTCACTTTAGCTGAAAAAATACTCAACAAATTTCATTTAGCCTGAAGCAAGGACAGGATTTAACTACAAAAGGTTGGAAATTCAGAGAATAGTTTTTTTTTTTTTACCTTTTGGGAAATGAATAGGTTGAGTTTTCTGAAGATAAAGGCTATGATTTATATGATACCTGAAGGTTCTGGTAGCCAGTGCCTCAGGGTTAATTGTTTGTAGCAGACCTTGAGTCACCTGCTAGCAAATATTTTTAGTTCTTGGATACCTTTATTGTATTTTTTTTTTACATTTTTCACTGGCTTATCATTTTTCCTTATGTAATGCTGTGTCTTGCTAAAGATGTAGTCATCTACTTTAATCTTAACTGATGTATCTCAGTGGAGAGATTCCACTACTTACGGACAGATTCCTGGCAATCTCAGCTTATTTGAAAAATACTATAAAGCCAAGTGAGAAAAAAAAAACTCCTTTGGAATGTAACTTTTATTTCATGCACTCTTTCTCACAGGGGAAGCAGTCTTTTCTTAGGCCTCTCATAGACAACTGGGCACAAAATTAAGATAATGGGTTGTAAAAAGAAGACAAGGAAAGAGTAGTAAGAAGTGTTTTTCAGATGTCAGCTGGATATAGGACTTTATATACACATGACTCTGTAGGGAAAATGGAAGTTCCTATGGACAAGATTCTCACCTGACCCTGATATACTTACCCACTGCACATGTGCAACATTCACAGGTGCATGCTTACACACGTGTTGGCAATGTGACATTACTGACTCTATATAAAGAGCTCTTCCCAGTGCCCTGGGGCTTCCAGGCAGTGGAGAGGTCCGGAGGTGGACAGGATTCTAGCACTTGATCTGTTATCATGAGAATAAATCTGGGTATAAACCCTTATATACCCCAAGAACACTCCAATGTTATTTTTCAGTCTCACGGAATCCACCATAAACTTGCCCAGGGCTGAAACCCTTAGGTGAGACAGACTCTATCCAAGCATGACACATATCAATTATAATGCAGGGTTTTTATCCCTGTGTGTATTAATTTTTAAATGTATCAGAATATTTTTGGTTATAATTAACAGCAAATACAATTCAAAATGGTTTAAACCATTGGTTTTCAAACTTGGTGGCACACTGGAATTATCTGGGGGAATTTGAAAATGTACTGGAGACTGGGTTTCATCCCGGGAGAATGTAATTTAATAGGATGCGGCCAGGGAATTGAGATATTTAAAGAACTCCACAGGTGAGTCTAATGTGCAGCAATGTTTGAGAACAACTGATTTAGACAACAATGAAATCCATTGGCTTATGTGGCTGAAGAGTCCAAAGTTATGGCCAGCTTTAGGCAAGGCTTGACACGTGGTGCAAAGTTCCTGACTCACTGGAACTGGAATGTGGTTGAGAATTTATATTTGTAACAAATTCCCAGTTGATGCTGCTGCTGCCGATCTGAGGGTCATACTGTAAGAACCACCTGAGCTAAGTATACAGAAGTGCATAACAGATAACCCCTACCTTGGGGGGTTTTAGGAAGCAAGTATTACATAAAATTATATAGCCATTTTTCACATTTTTATATTCAGTGAAAGGTAAAAATCCACTAGTTTGTTATTCCAAAGAGGATATTAAAGAGAAATCTATACCTTAAGTGTGACATATTCACAAAGGTATCCTTCACACATTTATTTGATTTGTTTTCTTATTTTATTTCTGTTTAGGTTATTGCTCTAACTTTAGACCTCAGTAATGGGCTCCTGTATTGGTTGGTCCAAGACAGTCAGTGTATTCACCTGTACACAGCTGTTCTTCGGGGTCAGAGGTAAGTAATATCCCATAAAGACAATTAATTGAGAATCAGGGAACAACTTGCCCCTCAGTTATAAATAATAAGCATGAGAATTCATTCTTTCTATAAACATTTACTAATTATCCATCGTGTTGCAGGCATTGTACTTGTAGGGAAAGACAAGTTTGTAAATAACTAATTACAATAGAATGTGGTGACTGGATAGGGTATCAAGAGAGTACAGCAGAAGAATGCTCTTCACAAGTCCAGGAAACAGATAAGGTTTTCTGCAGCTTAACAGACTATACATTATGGAGTTCAGGCAATAATCATCCTATATGTCACATGTGAAAACTGGAGAGTGGAAAGAACCACAAGATTTATCTTCTTGATCTGTGTCCTCCAACTTAACCCCCTTGTTATCTCTTTGGCATCTCCACATCCTCCATATTGGTATTGTCAGATATTTTTTCTATACTTTTACTTTTTAAAATTAGGTATAATGTACATAATGTAAATGCTCAGATCTCCAGAATTCCATTATATCAGCTTTGTTGAATGCATTTTTTAAAGGTATTATTGATATACACTCTTATGAAGGTTTCACATGAAAAAACAATGTGGTTACTACATTCACCCATATTATCGTGTCCCCCCATACTCCACTGCAGTCACTGCCCATCAGTGCAGTGAGATTCCACAGAGTCCCTATTTGCCTTCTCTGTGCTACATTGTCTTCCTGATGATCCCCTCACATGATGTGTGCCACTCATAATACCCCACAATCCCCTTTTCCCTCCCCCATTCCTTCCCTTTGGTAACCACTAGTCCCTTCTTGGAGTCTGAGAGTCTGTTGCTGTTTTGTTCCTTCAGTTTTGCTTTGCTGTTATACTCCACAAATTAGGGAAATCATTTGGTACTTGTCTTTTTCTGCCTGGCTTATTTCACTGAGCATAATACCCTCCAGCTCCATCCATGTTATTGCAAATGGTGGGATTTGTTTCTTTCTTATGGCTGAATAGTATTCCATTGTGTATACGTACCACCTCTTCTTTATCCATTCATTTGTTGATGGACACTTAGGTTGCTTCTCTATCTTGGCTATTGTAAATAGTGCTGTAATAAACATAGGGGTGGATATGTCTTTTTGAATCTGAAAAATTATAATTTTGGATAAATTCCTAGGAGTGGAATTCCTGGGTCAAATGGGATTTCTATTTTTAGTTTTTTGAGGAACCTCCACATTGCTTTCCACAATGGTTGAACTAGCTTACATCCCCACCAGCAGTGTAGCAGTGTAGGAGGGTTTTCCCCTTTCTCCACATCCTCGCCAGCATTTGTTGTTCTTAGTGTTTTTGATACTGGCCATTCTAACTGGTGTGAGGTGATATCTCATTGTTGTTTTTGTTAGCATTTCCCTGCTAATTAATGATGTGGACCAACAGGTCATGTGCCTGTTGACCATCTGAATTTCTTCTTTGGAGAAGTGTCTCTTCATATCCTTGGCCCATTTTTAATCAGATTATTTGCTTTTCAGTTGTTGAGGTGTGTGAGTTCTTTATATATTTTGGATGTTAACCCCTTGTCAGATATGTCATGTACAAATATATTTTCTCATACTGTAGGATGGCTTTTTGTTCTGTTGATGATGTCCTTTGCTGTGCAGAAACTTTTTAGATTGATATAGTCCCATGAGTTCATTTTTGCTTTTGTTTCCCTTGCTCAATGAGATGAATTCAGGAAAAAGTTGCTCATGTTTATATACAGGAGATTTTTGCCTATGTTGTATTCTAAGAGTTTTATGGTTTCATGACTTTCATTCAGGTCTTTGATCCAATTTCAAGTTTACTTTCATGTATGGGGTTAGACAGTAATCCAGTTTCATTCTCTTGCATGTAGCTGTCCAGTTTTGCCAACACCAGTTGTTGAAGAGGCTGTCATTTCCCCATTGTATGTCCATGGCTCCTTTATCATATAATAATTGACCATATATGCTTGGTTTTATGTCTGGGATCTCTAGTCTGTTCCACTGGTCTATGGGTCTGTTCTTGTGCCAGTACCAAATTGTCTTGATTACCGTGGCTTTGTAGTAGCGCTTGAGGTTGAGTACCATAATCCCCCCAGCTTTATTCTTCCTTCTCAGGATTGCTTTGGCTATTCGGGGTCTTTTATGGTTCCATATGAATTTTAGAACTATTTGTTCTAGTTCATTAAAGAATGCTGTTGGTATTTTGATAGGGATTGCATTGAATCTGTAGATTGCTTTAGGCAGGATAGCCATTTTGACAATATTAATTCTTCCTACCCAAGAGCATGGGATGGGTTTCTATTTGTTAGTGTCCTCTTTAATTTCTTTCAACAGTGTCTTGTAGTTTTCAGGGTATAGGTCTTTCACTTCCTTGGTTAGGTTTATTCCTAGGTATTTTATTCCTTTTGATGCAATTGTTTTCCTGATTTTTCTTTCTGCTAGTTCATCATTAGTGTATAGGAATGCAATAGATTTCTGTATATTAATTTTGTATCCTGAAACTTTGCTGAATTCAGATATTAGATCTAGTAGTTTTGGAGTTGATTCTTTAGGGTTTTTTATGTACAATATCATGTCATCTGCAAACAGGGACAGCTTTAGTCTCAGGGTGGCAGGTTGAGTGCTGGAATCACATCTGCCTCTGTGGCCTTCACAATCTGTTTTCGTCTCTGCCTCTGGGCAGAGCACTGGGCAGAGCTCTTTCTGTAGTAACACTAACAATAGTGGCTCATTGCCATCGGGTGTGTGGGCATTAGCCTAGCAGTATTCCAATTACATCATCAAGTATTTAGGGTCATGTGAGGATCCTGGCCATAGGAACTTCGATTTTCCCTACAAGTCTTGTACATCTTTCATTAAATTAATACTTAAGTATCTAATGTTTTTTGATGCTTCATATGGAGCACTTTAGGATGTGTGTAAGTGCTGTGAAACTGAGGATGCATACTTTTTCATCAGATTTTCTAGAGTCTAATTGTATAAAGGCCAAGAAGTCCTGCTTTATGAACACAGGTCAAGATTACTTTTAGAATCAAATGCAATTTTGGGTGTTTGCTGGAAAAACTTTATTACCAGTATAACAATATATCTGGCTTGGATGTTGAGTAAGGTACTCCTATTATTAAAGTTCAGGCATGTTTAGTTAAGTGAGGATTGGTTCTGCTGCTTCAAAGGATCCTACATTCTTGCTATTCTCTCCACCTGATATGTTTCCCAAACTCAGTTCCCTTGGTTAATTTGTGTTTGGACTGCATGGCTCAGCTTAAATGTTGCTTTCTAAGAGAGGCTTTTTCTGGCTAGGCCTCATTAGGTCTCCCTGTTAAGGAACCTACTCTATCTTTCCTTTTACAGAACCATTCAACAGTATAGATTTTTGCTCATTACCTGCCTTTTCTGCTAGGTGTATATCCTACGAGGGCAGTGATTGTATTGCCTTATTAACATTGTATTCCTAGTGGCTATCACAGAACCAGGAACATAACATTTGTTGAATGAATGAACAGATGAATGAAACCTCAGGGCAGTAACCTCCCTGACCTCTATATATATATCATGCTTCCTGAATGGTTTATCATTTTATGATTTTTTTGTTGTTGAATTTTGATTTAAGTCCAGCTTTCCCTGTTGCTGGGGACTGAAGGTTTGAAGTACTGACCTCCAGAAAGTGAGGAGGTTGGGGTGAAGTGGTACTCAATATCAGAGGTCACTAATTTTTGGGTTAGCCCCCAAGATTTCCACAAGATGGTAGTCTTCAGATACAAATGAGGGGGCATTCCAAGCCAGTGGCAACTTAGGGATATTCAGTCTCACCCTGCATAGAAGTCTGTCACGTGAACTTTTTTGGGAATGGGAAACAAACACACACCCTGTGAGCAAGTCTAGCATGAGCACACTCACGGGATGTATGCTGTAGCAGCCCTGTGGGTGGCCCAGAAGGGCCAGGCTTCTCAGGCCAAGTGCGTCTCATCCAGTGGACTTCCTTCCCTCTGGAATTTGGTTTGACATCTCATGAGGTTAATGAAAAGTTCTAATGAGAAGTGGAAACAACAAAGTGTAAAATTAGACAAGTGAGGGAAAGTATAAAAGGCAAACTGGATGCTGTCTTCATAACTGAGTAGGTATGAGTAAATAGTATTTTACTAGAAAAAGGACTATGGGAATCATACTAGTGAATATGCTTCATTATAAGATTTACAATTCCTGACTATGATCCTCTGAGGTAGCTTCAGTTTTCTCAGGAGGTATTATGAAATTTTGAAAACAGAACTTTTATTTATTTTGATTTGAAATGCCATACTTTATATTTTATGAAGAAGGGAATATCAGCACTTTAAAAAGATTTAGAGAAATCACTAAAAGAAAAATAATGAAAAAAAAAAAGTCAAACCCCCACTCCAAAAGGCTAGAAATCATTGAGATCATTTTTATTAAGTAGTAGGCAACTGGAATAGTTTTAGAAACAAACAGATTTTTAAGGTCAAAATCATTGTAAAATTCCTGTCACTGAAAAACCTGTGAAAGTAATTTAAACAGTAGTCTGTTTACTTGAATTCTCTGGTGTGAAAGGAAAATTTTGTCTAAGCTATAGAAGTTAATACATATCATTGGAACAACAGACAGTTGTGAATAATAATAAATAATAAATATAAAAATAAAAATAAATAATAATAAGGTGAAGGACTCACTGGGCTAAAATAATGAATTACAAGTAAATAAGATGACTCACCAAGAACTGGAGGAAGGCATGATTATGAGGAGAAACCAATCAGCATGTTGTGCCTTTGCTGTAGGGAACTACCAAAAATCAACAGTGTTTTTATTTATTAAAACTTGTGTAACACTCTTGCCATTGCAATATCATATGAATAGGAAAAGCCCTAGAAAGTTTGCTTTAGGTATACCTTGAGAAAAATGTAAAAAATGAACTTAATATGAAACTAAGAATAATGACAATTACTGTTGTAAAGTATTTTCTCTTTGTTTTCACATACACAAACATACATTTTCTCTAGTACTTGAATGTACCACCCTTGTCTCACTTAGGACACACACATTAATTGGTGCCATATTTCAGCAGCATTGGGGATACTAACATCACAGAATTTGCAGCCTGGAGTATTTCTGAAATTTCCCAGAATGCACTGAGGTACTATAGTGGTTGACTCTTCTGGATCAATGGCTTTAGGATTATCACAGCTCAGGAAATAGATCAGAGAACCAGCGTCTCTGTTTTGGAACCTGCCAGATTTAACCAGTTCACAATTATTCAGACATCCCTCAAGCCTCTGCCAGGTACAACATTTTATTCTTGCTTATCCTATATCTTCCATACTTTCTGTTAAATGAGTGTTTAGCTTGGGATTTTTTTTAAGAGGAAAAAAGGTTTAACAGTTTCTGTTGGTTTGCTTGTAATCAGTTTACTCAACACAAATTTAAAGCCTGAAACAAAAAGATGATCTTCAGGATTTATTAAAGGAAAGGAAACTCGTTTTGTTACTAATTATTTGTAATTTCTATTACTTTTCTTTGTTTCCTTTGGGTGAATTGATAATCCATCTCCGTCTATTCTTTCATTCCATAGGGAACTTTTCCTTTGCCCCTAAGGTTATCCCAGATTCCATTCAAGAGTCTTCATTTAGGATTGAAGGAAATGCCTCGAGTTTTCAAATCCTGTGGAATCCTTCCCCAGCAGTGGAGTGGGGTGTAATTTTCTACAATGTAGAATTCAGTGCTCATTCTAAGGTATGGTATTGGTTCCAAACTTCCACTTTTCAAACATGCTGCACCATCTACATTAGCTCTGTCCATGCTGATTTGTACTTTCCTCACTTTGTCAAGCCCAACTCTTTTTTAGTTCCCGTAACATTGGGTTTTTAAGATGATTCCCGAGAACCTCTGTTTACAGCCAGTTTCTGACTGCTTTGTGGTTAGTGTTAACAAGTGGTACACTTAAACTGGTCTATATGGGACAACATGGAACTAACCAACATTAGCTTTTTCAAAATTGCAAGTTTTGACTTTACATGAGAACCAAAGTTTGGAGATTTTAGTTGATTAGGAATAAAAAATGGTGTGATACTCTCCCTAAGAAAATAATGTTTTATGCTTATATTTTAGTTCCTGACTAGTGACCAACAGTCTTCACCTGTATTTACTGTGGAAGGGCTGGAGCCTTATGCCTTATTTAATCTCTCTGTCACTCCTTATACATACTGGGGAAAGGGACCCAAAACATCTCTATTACTTCGAGCACCTGAAACAGGTACAGGGGTTAAAATCTCTTTTTAAAAAGAGGCAGAACCTCACTTCCCATGATCTAGAATGGATAGTTAATAATTTTTAAAAATAACTTTCAGTTTTGCTTGATGTGTTTACATGCAATACTCTCTAAAATACCTTTTATAGGTTAGAAAGTCAGTAGAAAAATAAATCTGAACAATTTATTCCCAAAAGAATATTGAAGGATTTCTTAAAGATTACATCACTTAAATTACACAAGAACAAAACCCCTGGACCAGATGGCTTCACTACTGAAAATTATCAGACATTTAGAGAAGACATAATAACCATTCCCCTTAAAGTTTTCCAAAAAATAAAAGAGGAGTGAATACTTCCAAATTCATTCTATGAAGCCAGCATAACTCTAATACAAAAACCAGGCAAAGACACCAAAAAAAAAGAAAACTACAGACCAATATCTCTGATGAACATAGATGTAAAAATACTCAACAAAATATTAGCAAACAGAATTCAAAAATACATCAAGAGGATCACACATCATGATCAAGTGGGATTCATCCCAAGGATCCAAGGATGTTACAACATTCAAAAATCCATTGACATCATCCACCACATCAATAAAAAGAAGGATAAAAAATACATGACCATCTCTATATATGCTGAAAAAGCATTTGACAAAATTCAACACCTATTCATGATAAAAACTCTCAACAAAATGGGTATAGAGGGCAAGTACTTCAACATAATAAAGGCCATATATGACAAACCCATAGCCAACATCATACTTAACAGTGAAGAGCTGAAAGCTTTTCTTCTAAAATCGGGAACAAGACAGGGATGCCCACTCTCCCTGCTTTCATTCAACATAGTACTGGAGGTCCTGGCCATGGCAATAGACAACACAAAGAAATACAAGGAATCCAGGTTGGTAAGAAAGAAGTCAAACTGTCACTGTTTGCAGATGACATGATATTATACATAAAAAACCCTAAAGAATCCACTCCAAAACTACTAGATCTAATATCTAAATTCAGCAAAGTTGCAGGATACAAAATTAATATACAGAAATCTATTGCATTCCTATACACTAATGATGAACTAGCAGAAAGAAAAATCAGGAAAACAACTGCATCAAAAGGAATAAAATACCTAGGAAAAAAACCTAACCAAGGAAGTGAAAGACCTATACCCTGAAAACTACAAGATACTCTTAGGAGAAATTAAAGAGGACACTAACAAATAGAAACCCATCCCATGCTCTTGGCTAGGAATAATTAATATTGTCAAAATGGCTATCCTGCCTAAAGCAATCTACAGATTCAATGCAATCCCTATCAAAATACCAACAGCATTCTTCAACAAACTGGAACAAATAGTTCTAAAATTCATATGGAGCCACAAAAGACCCCGAATAGCCAAAGCAATCTGAGAAGGAAGAATAAAGCTGGGGGGGATTATGATACCCAACTTCAAGCTCTACTACAAAGCCACAGTAATCAAGACAATTTGGTACTGGCATAAGAACAGACCCACAGACCAGTGGAAAAGACTAAAGAACCCAGATATAAACCCAAGCATATATGGTCAATTATTATACGATAAAGGAGCCATGGACATGCAATGGGGAAATGACAGCCTCTTCAACAGCTGGTGTTGGCAAAACTGGACAGCTACATGCAAGAGAATGAAACTGGATTACTGTCTAACCCCATACACGAAAGTAAATTAGAAATGGATCAAAGACCTGAATGTAAGTCATGAAACCGTAAACTCTTAGAATACAACATAGGCAAAAATCTCTTGGACATAAACATGAGCAACTTCTTCATGAACATATCTCCCTGGGCAAGGGAAATAAAAGCAAAAATGAACAAGTGGGACTATATCAAGCTGAAAACCTTCTGTACTGCAAAGGACGCCACCAATAGAACAAAAAGGCATCCTACAGTATGGGAGAATATATTCATAAATGACAGATCTAATAAAGGGTTGACATCCAAAATATATAAAGAGCTCATGCACCTCAACAAACAAAAAGCAAATAATCCAAGTAAAAAATGGGCAGAGGAGCTGAACAGACAGTTCTCCAAAGAAGAAATTCAGATGGCCAACAGACACATGAAAAGATGCTCCACATCGCTAATCATCAGAGAAATGCAAATTAAAACCACAATGAGATATCACCTCACACCTGTAAGGATCACCACCATCCAGAAAACAAACAACAACAATTGTTGGCAAGGTTGTTGAGAAAGGGGAACCCTCCTACACTGCTGTGGGAATGTAAATTAGTCCAACCATTGTGGAAAGCAGTATGGAGGTTCCTCAAAAAGCTCAAAATAGAAATACTGTTTGATCCAGGAATTTCACTCCTTAGAATTTATTCTAAGAATGCTGGATACTGAATTCAAAAAGACATATGCACCCCTATGTTTATTGCCACACTATTTACAATAGCCAAAACATGGAAGCAACCTAAGTGTCCATCAGTAGATGAATGGATAAAGAAGAGGTGGTACATATACACAATGGAATATTATTCAGCCATCAGAAGAAAACAAATCCTACCATTTGCAACAACATGGATGGAGCTAGAGGGTATAATGCTCAGTGAAATACGCCAGATGGAGAAAGACAAGTACCAAATGATTTCACTCATCTGTGGAGTATAAGAACAAAGCAAAAACTGAAGTAACAAAACAGCAGCAGACTCACAGAACTCAAGAATGGACTAACAGTTACCAAAGGGAAGGGACTGGGGAGGATGGGTGGGAAGGGAGGGATAAGGGGATTAAGGGGCATTATGATTAGCACTCATAATATAGGGGCTGTCACAGGGAAGGCAGTATAGCACAGAGAAGACAAGTAGTGACTCTAAAGCATCTTACTATGCTGATAGACAAAGACTGTAATGGGGTATGTGGTGGGGACTTGAGAATGGGGGGAATCTAGTAACCACAATGTTGCTCATGTGATTGTATATTAATGATGCCATAAAAAAAAGATTGCATCACTTGATAGTATTGATATATATGAGGCAGAAACTTGATGGTAATGATATATATGAGGTAATTTAGAAATGCTTAAGGAAAACGGTCATTTTAAAGCAGTTTTGTGGAAGGCAGGATTATCAGGAGACGTTCTTACAGAGAGTAACTCTGAATCAATTGTAGGTAAATAACTGATGTCTAAATTTAATGTTTTCCTTTGAAATATATTTTTAAAAGATATTAGCATTTCTTTACACGCATATGTCACTTTAAAGTGATTTATAGGTATCACTCTTTTACTAAACATTTATTATAAAGTTATCATGTGTCAGAAACATGATTTCTTCATTTCATTTGATCCTCACACAGCTCTGAGGTAAGATAGTTGCTACTACCTCAATTATGCAAATGAGAAAAAGGGAGCTGAGTAGTTGCTCAATGTCAAATAGCTAGAAAGCGGCAGGGCTTGGGCTTAATCTGTACTTTTCACCATAGTTTCATCAAATCTTCATTCAGTCATTTTTGTAAATGTTGGTAAGTGATGGTATCATATTGATTTAATTTATATGTACTTCCTAGCATAGGACTTGGCAGGGAGTAAGAGCTCGATAAAAGTGGACATCCAGTCACCATTGTGCTTATCATTGAAAGAATCTTACCAGTAATGAAATTGATCCATGAGTTTCATAACAGGACCATAGCGGAGCCTGGGCAGGCTCGGGTGCGGGTAGCAGGTGCTCTTGGGGTGTCAGCTTTCAGTGGATTCTTCTGTGGAAATGGGTTTGACTGCACTCAGCAAGGCATGCACTGGGCTCTCGCATCATTAGCACCTTGCTGGGTGTTGGGGGCAAAGGAAGAATGAAAAGATTTGGCCCTTGCCTTCAGGAAATTATTCAAATTAACAAATATTTATTAAGCACTTACCATGTGCCAGTCCTATACTAGACTTGGGGGATTCAACAAGGAATAAGACAAGTTGCTTTCTCTGATGGAGCTCATAAAGCACTAGAAAGACAAACACATATACTGACTGCTAATGATAATGGAAATAAGACCATGAGAACTGAGTAGCAATGTCATAGAGTGAATGGAATAGACTGTGAAACCTTCCCCTCTATGAAGCCATCTCTGCCTTCTTAGGAGAGGGTAATACACACACACTGATAGAGCAACCGAAGGCCTTTGGGGATCAGAAACTTCAGCTGGGTCCGGAGGGATGAAGCAAGGAGAGGTAACCCATACACTACACTGTATGAAGGCCTGGAGCTCAGGTGGGAGTGCTGAGCATTAAGAAGCAATGTGATTTGAGTGGGAGACTGAGAAGACTTGCCGAGGAGTCCTAAAAAGGAAGACAGATGCCTTGGGTGGCATGTCCCTTAGAGATCAGGCAGGCGAGTTTCTCTTGATTAAGAGAGAGAGACATGAATTAAAGGACTGAGAGACACTGAATTGCTTGGCTCGGCTCTGGAAAAAAAATGGCAACCTCCAAACCCTACTCTTTGGGTACTTGCTGCCTCTTGGGTGGGTTCAGGGTGAGAGGTCCCGGATCCCTAGTACTCGGCACTTCACACGCTGTGACAGCTGACAGCTGGGCACAGCTAGCGCCTGCCTTCTGGTGACTGCCATTTCCACCTCCAGTTATGAGAGTAAATACTGCATTTAAAAGAACAAGAAAGATGTGTTTCAGTGGTAGTAAGGGGGATTTATGTGGGAAATAAGGGAGATTCACTGAGATATCAGGACAGGTTTCTGAAGAAATCTCTGGAACATTCTCTCCTGAAGATCTTTAAGAACAAGATAAGAATACCTTAAAACTGTCTGGAATAAGAATTATTTATCACTAGTTTCCCCATCATGAGTGGTAAAAATCAACCTTATATTCTGTTCTGGCCTATCTGTGTCTCTGCTTTCCAGTTCCATCAGCACCAGAGAACCCCAGAATATTTATATTACCAAGTGGAAAATATCACAAGAATGAAGTTGTGGTGGAATTTAGATGGAATAAGCCTAAGCATGAAAATGGTGTGTTAACACGACTCGAAATTATCTATCAGATATACAATCAAAGAGACACAAACAAAACATTTGATGACTGGATTGCCGTCAGTGTCACTCCCTCACTGATGTCTTTTCAACTTGAGGGCGTGAGTTCTGGGTACACTGTTGCTTTCCAGGTATGAATGAAAACAGGGATATGGGGGTCTTCATAGTGCAAACAGAAGGTTGATTGAAGAACTCACTTAAGAATTTTGCCACTCTGTCAATAATTTGAGGTCTACTGTGATCACAGAGTTTAAGTGGGCAGCAAAGGGGCAGAAAGGAGAGGGGGCAGTTACGTTAAGGGACATGGGGCATCTTGACGATGTTTGTGTTTTTAGAGAACAAACCATTCTTTTTTCATGTGATCGCTATAGGCTGTGGACCATGGTAAGTATTTTTATATTCATTATCTCCTTTGATCATCATACTGTCTGTGAAGAAAAAACCATGTCCCTCCCTGGTTGTATTAATGAATTACCAAAGTCGCATGGCTAGGAAGTGTGTGAATCATCCGGATGTCCCACTGTGGAGTTACCAATGGAAACAGAAGCTGAGGGTCTAGGTAGCTGACATCTCACAGCTGTCACCTGGCTGCTGACTGAGGAGAAAGTCAGAGGAGTCAAGAATTAAGAGCTAAGTCAGAGAATAGGAATCAAGAATAAAGTGCCTGCCCATTTTCACATTTTAAATTTAATATGAAATACCTTTCCACCTAGGATAGATGGTTTGATGATTTTCATATCCTCATTAAATACCAGGTTGGTTGATAATCTACATATTTAGAGTTATTTCCTATTTCCTTTTGGGGAAGATAATGTTTTGGAGAGTGTTTTAGAGATTTGACTTTCCTAAGGATCTTTTCTTTTTGTAAAATAATAATTTAATAACTATTTTAATAATATATTAGGTGTACATATACTAATCAAAGAAGTTGTACCTAAAAGTCAAAGATAATACACCTTTCTGTTTGTTAAGAATTATGTATGTTCTGGTTAAATAAATATTCTGGTTAAGCATGTCTGTCTGTATATATACAGTCACCACAGAACAGTGCAAAGTGATATGCATGAATATGTGTGAGTTTCATTTAACATGGTCCCATGCAAAGTGAAGACTGCTTGATATATATATGCACCATGATATACCACCCCAATATACAGATAGTAATATATATAATATAGTAAAGTATATTTAATGCTTGAATCATAATAAAAATACTGTTTTGGTGATTAAGAGAGTACTTGAGAATCTATTACTGAGCCCATAATTATGTATGTAATTTTTCTTTATAGGTTGTATATATACAGTGTTTGAGAATGGAAATGACTTACTGCACAATGAAAGACATCTGATAAACATTTATTTAAAAAATACTTTGTTCTTAGAATACGGTGGGGCACAGAGGAAAGACAGTATACAGACTCGGAGGACTTGGTTTTTATGCCAGTTTCTACACGTGTCATTGTGGATGAGTTACCATATTTATCCAGTTTCTACTCTCAGTAGTTGTGAGGATCAAAAAGAAAGAATGTGTGTAAAAGTTGTCTGAAATGTGCAATTCATTTTCAAATACAAGGTTTAACTATAATTTTCTTTTTATAAATCTCCCTTTTAAAAGTACAGTACATTTAGTTAATTGAAGCTTCTAGTTGTTGATTTCATGATAAGTGGAAGTTTAGCATGATCTGTATAATTCTGTTAAATGTTCTATGCAATTTAATCTTGGAAATAACTAAAAACCTTTTTTAGAAATTCAAATCTTTTGCAATAGAGATTTAACCCATTTGCTTTGTACTTTTCTAGACAAAAAAATCCTACCAACATGAATATGGGACAGTATTTTTCCTCTTAGTGACTTATAGCTATATACTTTTATATGTAAATAACTATTTGGAGCTATTCACAATGTATATCAGAATTATGAAATGAAACATTCAATAAGTGTTCAGCCTCAGAGCTTAATATTGTGACGAGGACACTGTGAATGCCACTTTGTGTCTTTCTTTAGGTTCGAGTCTTTACATCCAAAGGACCTGGACCATTTTCTGACATTGTAAAGTCCAAAACATCAGGTATTTATTATCTAAAACAATTTGTGTTTTAGAAAACATTTTTGACCCTTGGTATTCTTAGGGATATGAATTCTGTCTCTGAGCTGAAGTTTAAGTCAGAGCGATCAATTTTTGTTATCACCGAACATGCTTCCACAAATTTAGGCTTAGAGAGCTTACACAGTCTCAGCTGAGACTCTGGCATAGCAGATGGATCCAAAGGAGACTCATAGATTGCAAAATGGCCTGATACTACATCAAGGGATTTTGCTGAACTGAAGGTATTTTTCACATGCATGTTATCTACTTGTCTTTTGTTGTCAGAAATCAACCCATTTCCATACCTCATAACTCTTCTGGGCAACAAGATTGTTTTGTTAAATGTGGATCAAAATCAGGTTGTATGGACATTTTTAGCAGGAAGAGACATCAATGCCATGGGCTACACAGCTGATGATGCAATGGGGTATTATGTGCAAGGAGACTCACTCTGCCTTCTGAACATGCACAACAGGTCCAGCTCTGAGGTATTTCACCATGTGATTCTTCTGAGAGGAAGGCAGTGGAGCATTTGCCTATCACACTACCCTATAATTAAAATGAATGGCCAGTGGTTGAGCCAGTACAATTAAAATGGTGGAAAAGGACCTGTGTTGTGTAATATTTAGTCACAAATGAATACAGATTAGATTTTAGGCAAATGTTGTTCTGAACTAATTTAGCAAACACTTATCAGATTTAAAGCAGTGTGTTTGTTCCTAGGATAGAGGTAAAAAAATACTCCAGAGTCCTTGAACAAACCCATTGTAGTATTAATCTAACACGGGAAGATGGTATTGTGTAGTGATTAAAAGGGTGAGTTTTGGAATCTGACAACCTAGAATTTAGTTCTGGCACCACCACTCATTAGATCTGTGACCACTGACCAGTTATTTAAGCTCTATGGTTATGTAATACCTCATCATGGGGTTCTTGTGAAGATTACATGAAACAATCCATGGAAGGCACTTAGCACAATGCCTGGCATGTGGTAGGTATTCACTGAATGTTAGCTAGTGGAATAGACAGACGGAAAACAGCGTAAGTGCTCTGCTCAGGGCAGGATGCAGTGGAATCCCAGAGAGTGGATGCTTAATGCAGGTTGGAGCTGTGGTGGTGGTGTGGCGGTAAAATGGAAAGATATCTTGAGTGTAAAGAAGATGGACAGGTGAAGGTGGAGGGAAGCTGAAGCAGTAGCAAGTGAAAAGGCAGGGAAATGAGCCATAGAGTGTTCAGGGAGCTATAAATAGCAGGAGCTTGGAGTGGAAGTTGGGGGTGAGGGTGGAGTAAGGCAGGTGTCAAAACTGGAGTGGTAGGCATGAGGCTGAATATAGTGGGCCTCCTTTACTGAGCTAAAGAGTCAGGTGTCAATTTTGAAGCCAACATCAAGACATTAATTAAATTTAGTGGGTCATTAACATGATCAAGTTGTGAAAGACCTCTCAGTTAGCAGTCTGAATAATGATTTAGAGAAGGTTAAGTCTGAGACAGGAGGCTATCACAGAAATCCAGACAGGAAATGAGATGGAATGCGTTGAGTAGGAGGGCAATTGCAGAGATATTTGAAATAGGACTAATTCACTATGGGTAGTTGTGGGAAGGCAAAGTCAAGGACGAACCACATTTGTCAGGATTGCTCCTCAGGTGAGTGTTGGACATCCATAAAAATATAAAATGCAGGGGAACAAAAGGGTGATGAGTTTCATTTTCTGGGATCATTCATATGGAGATGTTCAGTAGGCAGTTTGATGTTTGGATCAGTAACTCAACGACAGATGTTGCCCAAAGACGTGGATCTGACGCACTGGCCTATGGATCACAGTTGAAGCCCTGATGGCTGGAATTAACCAGGGAAAATGATACAGTACGAGAAGAGGGCCGGTGTCCCTGTGGTGCATGGTCCGTGACTATGAGAGTTCTGGGTTACAAAGGAGAAGTGCAGTAGATAAGTAATATGTGAATTACAGAGAAGTCCTCAAGTTCGAAAAAATAACCACTGTCTCCTTGTCTGTATTTTCTACATACTGTTAAGATTTTCCGAGATGCTCTGATTTTTGGTATCAAAATTATTACAATAGACTGGATTTCAAGGCACCTGTACTTTGTGCTGACAGAATCACAAAGTGGAATGGAAATATTTGATGTAGATCTTGAACACAGGGTGAAATATGCCAGAAAGCTGAAGATTTGCAATAAAAATTCAACAATAATTTCTTTTTCTGTATATCCTCTTTTAAGGTATGTGAAATGTGAGTATCTGTTTCTTTTGTGATGAAATAAAAACATACTTCATGTAACATTGTTGGCTTAATGTTACAAGTCATTGGTGGGAAAGTAAGATGCTTAGGGTTATTGACTCACTATAGTAACATATGGTAAACAATTCTACATAAAAATTTGCACAACTACAAATTAGGTTAACTACCAGAGGAAAACCAAAACAGATTTCATACCAGTGAATCTAATAATATCCTTCCTTGGTAAGGACTAGGAGCCTGAGGCAGTGACAGGACAAGAGCAGCAGACAGGCCGACTGCTCTGCACAGCAAAAGCTGTTCTGGGCTTTAATTCATGTTCTCATAAGATGAGTTTTAAGGCCTTTATTCAACAACTGAGTAGCAGTTTCTTGGGCTGGAAAGATATAGTTTGTTTGAGCCATAAGCATGGTTATAATCTCTTCTGAAACTAGATTGTTAAGTGGTGTAAGAAGCAGAAACAAACTTGAGAGGAGGGAAATGAAGATGGGTGTTGATGAAAAGTATGCAAATATATTTCATATTTCTAGCCATTAATAAGCTTTTTTATATCATGCCTAAGGTTTTTAGAATTCAAGAGTTTAGTTGTAAATACACTTATTGAGAAACCACTGGAAATACTACAAATTAGACTTGTTACCTCTTCCGTCTCAGAAGATTATTGGACACCCAGGCCATGTTCTTTATAAAGGCTGCATTTGTTCCCTGCAGTCATTAGGAATGATTGATCTTCATTAGAAACTAATATTTGCAATGATATGTTTTACTTATTAAGCTGGAGGATTTTTTCCCCCCTATAGTCGCCTGTATTGGACAGAAGTTTCAGATTTTGGCTGTCAGATGTTCTACTACAGTATGATCAACCAGACCTTGCATCGCATTCTTCAGCCCACAGCTACCAGACATCCAGGTGTAAGGAGCCAATGTTTTTGCAATGTGACTGAATTTGAGTTAAGTGGAGCAATGACTATTGATACATCTGACCTAAAGAAGCCGCTGATATTCTTTGTCAAAGGGCAAGAGATCTGGGCCACAGATCTGGAAGGATGTCGATGTTGGCAAGTTAGCAGGATGCCTACTCTGCTTGGTAAAGTATCCAAGTGTGTACATAGATTAGTAATGGCAGCCCCTCCAGTTTCATTAAAAAGGGCTTCCATCCCATATATATTCAGAAGAATAACACATGGTATTTGCTTTGGACCATGCCAAATGTTCTTACAGAATTCAAACAGGCTGTTTCCAGGCAAATAGCATATAGGCATTCATGTAACTTTCTAGATCTGTATGTGTGTGGTGTGTGTTGGGGGCTGTTATTTTATAAATAACAGTAGAGCTACAATTCATTGAGCTTAACTGTGTATTCTAAGCATGCTACTAAATGCATTGTTCCATTTAATCCTCAAAACACCTCAGCAAAGTTGATACTAGTAACCTCACTTTACAGATGAGAAAACTGAGTCTAAGAAAGACAAATAATTTGTTCAAAGGGCCACAGTTAGTTAGTAGAGGAGCTGGAGTTTGAAAGTGGGCCTAACTACAATATCCTTGATCTACCACCAGTACCCTATTTTGTGTCCATTTTGATGATCCCAATGACTCCACATTCAGTATGAGTTGGTCAATACTTAATAGGTCTACCTGTTGAAAGTCACATGCCTGGGGAGGAAATAGTTGAAAATCAAAAGTGATTTGAAAAATCTCCTAAGTAGGAGTATGCAACAGAAAACAAATGTACTGTAAATACCTTCATATATTCTTAAGAGTCTGCTCTTAAGGGATACAGTACAGTAATTGCTGTTCAATAGAATGACTGCTAGTCACATGCGGTAGTCAAAGTTTAAATTAATTAAAATTAAAAATTTAATTCTTCAGTTACTTTAGCCACCTTCTAAATGCTCAAAAACCACAAGTGGCTAGTGGTGGTTACTGTATTAGGCAGCATAGATATAAAATATTTCCTTCATCATAAATGCCATTGGTCATTACTGGTCTGTATAGTGAAGCTTTGAAATTGGGAATGTGTGTGTGGATGTGAGTGGGTCTGTGTGTGTGTGTTAGAACTGCACATATGGTTTTGTTGACATGTCACCTTGAGCCTTTTAGAAACAATTCCAATGTACTTTCAATAGGCTTTAGCCTAGAGATATTTTGAACTTCCCTTATTAGGGGAATCCTTTGTTTCTGCTGAATCTGCAACAAAGACTCCATAACTGAGCTTTTGGTTAAGCTCCTCTGAGCCCTTTCGGCAGTGAGGCCTCAGCCTTGGCCTTCCCTGTCCATCCTTGCTGAGTCCAGCTTTAGCGAGAATTCTGCCAAATTCGTTTAGAGATAATCCCTTGCTCTTGTATCTGATCACATTCTTCATCCTCCACCCCTGATGTGCTTGGTTTGCTTTTCGCAAAATTTCTATGAGGCCAGTTTAGCGGGAATCTTTCTACCTTTGATGTCTCTGCTTAGCAATTTTCTGTCCACTGACCCCACTAACTGCTTGTTGGCTATGAATCCCCTGCTGTCTTTGTTGTGTTTGGAGTTAAGCATATTTCTCTTTCCTGTTGGTAATATTGCAATAGTCTTGACTAAAGTCTTCTTCATCATTTAAACTAGTGTCAGAATAATTTTTCTTTAACATCTGATACACAAGAATTATCTAATGGGCCATTATCTTATAGATATAGAACCGCTGAGTATTTCATGAATCCATAATTGAAAACATAACCCTAAAATTAGAAAATTAGAATGATTTTAGAGAGCATTTAGCTGACATGGTATTGGAAGAAATTCCTTCTACAAAACCAGCCTTGCTTGAACACCTATGATAAGTATACTACTTTATAAGGAAGTCTGTGTAATTTTTTGGACAAGTCTTAATATTAGAATTTTCCCTTTTTATTTAGCTGAAGATATCCCCCCATTTTCCCCATTCATTAAGCTGAGCTCTGGCCTCTAAATTTAAAAAGAATAAATCACTCACTTTCTGCACGGTAACTATTCAGCCATGTAGAGACAGCTGTCAGAGCCCATCCTAAGCATTTCCTGTAGAGGAAAACTTCAAGTATCTCTAACTACTCTTCAGGTGATGTGGCTTCTAGATCTTTCTTTGTCCCAGTCACCATCTTGTGGTTTTACTCCAGCTGCTTAATATCCTCTTCAATGTCACCCCCCTGATGACTCTGTGCTCTTCATGTGTTCTGGTCAGTACAGGGGCCTCTGGTCTCTTCTTTTACTGCAGCTAAAAGTGGCAGCAGGTCTTGAGGTTGCCTGCCATTTGAAAACCCATAGCCTTTTTCATGTCAACTATTGTTAAGCCAGATTTCTTTCATTCGTTATTTATAGAGTTGATTTTAAACTTGAATTTAAGATGTTATTTTGTTCCTATTAAATTGTAATCCATTTTCTGATTCTGTTTTGATAGGTTTGAATTTCAGGTCAGTGACTGAATGTAC